TAGACTATAGACTAGACTATAGACTAGACTATAGACTAGACTATAGACTAGACTATAGACTAGACTATAGACTAGACTATAGACTAGACTATAGACTAGACTATAGACTAGACTATAGACTAGACTATAGACTAGACTATAGACTAGACTATAGACTAGACTATAGACTAGACTATAGACTAGACTATAGACTAGACTATAGACTAGACTATAGACTAGACTATAGACTAGACTATAGACTAGACTATAGACTAGACTATAGACTAGACTATAGACTAGACTATAGACTAGACTATAGACTAGACTATAGACTAGACTATAAACTAGACTATAGACTAGACTATAGACTAGACTATAGACTAGACTATAGACTAGACTATAGACTAGACTATAGACTAGACTATAGACTAGACTATAGACTAGACTATAGACTAGACTATAGACTAGACTATAGACTAGACTATAGACTAGACTATAGACTAGACTATAGACTAGACTATAGACTAGACTATAGACTATAGACTACTAGACTAGACTATAGACTCGACTATAGACTAGCCTATAGACCTAGACCTATAGACTAGTCTATAGACTAGACTATAGGACTAGGACTATACTAGACTAGACGATAGACTAGACTATAGACTAGACTATAGACTAGACTATAGACTAGACTATAGACTAGACTATAGACTAGACTATAGACTAGACTATCGACTCGACTATAGACTAGACTATAGACTAGACTATAGTACTAGTACTATAGTCTAGTCTATAGTCCTAGTCTATAGTACTAGTCTATAGACTAGACTATAGACTAGACTAAGACTAGACTATAGACTAGACTATAGACTAGACTATAGACTAGACTATAGACTAGACTATAGACTAGACTATAGACTAGACTATAGACTAGACTATAGACTAGACTATACTATAAACAGTACTACAGACTAATCTATTGTCTACTATGTTGACTACTTATCAGTTTATAGGTTAGAAAAAGCACTGAAAATGAGTGCGCGTACCACGATATTATTCGTCCACCAAAAACTACTAAAGTACTGAATTTTCCATGCCTGCAATAGTATAATTTTCTTGCTGCTACACGAGTTATATAGAGAGATAATGACTTTCAAGAGATCAATAGCCGATTTAATATTAAGCGAAATTGATTTTACTTTTTATTGCAGAATTATATAAAAAAATTTTGTAGAAAGGAAGAGTCGAATTTGAGATACCCTTACTTCCCATAAATGGATAATTAAAATGGTTTAGCTTAACGCTATGCTGTCGTTTCGTTTTGCTAGAAAATAAAATTTCTAATAATTTGCTCTATTAATTATAAAAAATTCTAATACGATTTTGTTATACGATATTATACTTGTTTTTATTAATGATTGTTTAATTGAGAAGTCAACAACTGTTATCGTATGTCTCAAACAGTTTAATGTCAATCATTAATAGGGAACTGAGTAACAATTGCTGAAAACAGCCGTCGTATACATATTCAATAATAATTCATTGTTAATTTACAATTATTAATTTGACAGTTGATGTCTAATAAATGATAAAAACAAGAAAATCCTAATATAATTTTAAATAATTTGATTTAGACACAAAGCCATTGTCGATAGATAATGCATAATAATGAATTATAATTAAAAACAAAGTAATATTTGAATAATAAAACTATAGATAAGTAGAACACAAAAAAAAGAAAAGAACATTTATTATAATTAATAAATTAAGCTGTACTATAATAAGTTGCTAATAATTTTGCAGTTATTGATTAAAAACAACAAAAAAAAAAAGAATTAAACTTTATTGTTAATCACATGGCAAAATATTGTTATGTCTCCGATAATAGCCGATAAAGATTAAATATTACACTTAAAGAAATTTTATTGGTGAAATTCGGGTCTATAGTCTAGTATATAGTCTAGTCTATACTCAAGTCTACAGTCTAGTCTATAGTCTAGTCTATAGTCTAGTCTACAGTCTAGTCTATCTAGTCTACAGTCTAGTCTATAGTCTAGTCTATAGTCTAGTCTATAGTCTAATCTATAGTCTAGTCTATAGTCTAGTCTATAGTCTAGTCTATAGTCTAGTCTATAGTCTAGTCTATAGTCTAGTCTATAGTCTAGTCTATAGTCTAGTCTATAGTCTAGTCTATAGTCTAGTCTATAGTCTAGTCTATAGTCTAGTCTAGTCTAGTCTATAGTCTAGTCTATAGTCTAGTCTATAGTCTAGTCTATAGTCTAGTCTATAGTCTAGTCTATAGTCTAGTCTATAGTCTAGTCTATAGTCTAGTCTATAGTCTAGTCTATAGTCTAGTCTATAGTCTAGTCTATAGTCTAGTCTATAGTCTAGTCTATAGTCTAGTCTATAGTCTAGTCTATAGTCTAGTCTATAGTCTAGTCTATAGTCTAGTCTATAGTCTAGTCTATAGTCTAGTCTATAGTCTAGTCTATAGTCTAGTCTATAGTCTAGTCTATAGTCTAGTCTAGTCTAGTAGTCTAGTCTATAGTCTAGTCTAGTAGTCTATAGTCTGTCTATAGTCTAGTCTATAGTCTAGTCTATAGTCTAGTCTATAGTCTAGTCTATAGTCTAGTCTATAGTCTAGTCTATAGTCTAGTCTATAGGTCTAGTCTATAGTCTAGTCTATAGTCTAGTCTATAGTCTAGTCTATAGTCTAGTCTATAGTCTAGTCTATAGTCTAGTCTATAGTCTAGTCTATAGTCTAGTCTATAGTCTAGTCTATAGTCTAGTCTATAGTCTAGTCTATAGTCTAGTCTATAGTCTAGTCTATAGTCTAGTCTATAGTCTAGTCTATAGTCTAGTCTATAGTCTAGTCTATAGTCTAGTCTATAGTCTAGTCTATAGTCTAGTCTATAGTCTAGTCTATAGTCTAGTCTATAGTCTAGTCTATAGTCTAGTCTATAGTCTAGTCTATAGTCTAGTCTATAGTCTAGTCTATAGTCTAGTCTATAGTCTAGTCTATAGTCTAGTCTATAGTCTAGTCTATAGTCTAGTCTAGAGTCTAGTCTATAGTCTAGTCTATAGTCTAGTCTATAGTCTAGTCTATAGTCTAGTCTATAGTCTAGTCTATAGTCTAGTCTATAGTCTAGTCTATAGTCTAGTCTATAGTCTAGTCTAGAGTCTAGTCTATAGTCTAGTCTATAGTCTAGTCTATAGTCTAGTCTATAGTCTAGTCTAGAGTCTAGTCTATAGTCTAGTCTATAGTCTAGTCTATAGTCTAGTCTATAGTCTAGTCTATAGTCTAGTCTATAGTCTAGTCTATAGTATAGTCTATAGTCTAGTCTATAGTCTAGTCTATAGTCTAGTCTATAGTCTAGTCTATAGTCTAGTCTATAGTCTAGTCTATAGTCTAGCTTATAGGTCTAGTCTATAGTCTAGTCTATAGTCTAGTCTATAGTCTAGTCTATGTCTAGTCTATAGTCTCGTAATGTCTATGGCTAGGTCTATAGTCTAGTCTAGTTAGTCTCGAGTCTAGTCTATAGTCTAGTTCTATAGTCTAGTTCTAAGTTCTAGTCTATAGTATAGTCTATTAGTCTAGGTCTATAGTCTAGTCTATAGTCTAGTCTATTAGTTCTAGTCTATAGTCTAGTTCTATAGTCTAGTCTATAGTCAGTCTATAGTCTCGTCTATAGGTCTAGTCTATAGTCTAGTCTATAGTCTAGTCTATAGTCTAGTCTATAGTCTAGTCTATAGTCTAGTCTATCGTTCTAGCTATAGTCTAGTCTACAGTGAATATCTAGTCTAGCAAGAAAGTTGGTTTAGTACTTTCTGATCTGCTCTTCAAATTTTGTATAGTTGAGTCCATAATCCACTCAGAATTTTATCCTATATGATAAATCAAAAGAATGCTGATCAGAGAATTTATTCTATAACAGATTAAAATGGTTTTCAACAGTGAAAAAACTTATTAACAGTTTTAAAATCATTGATTAAAAACTATATAGTTCCTGAGTCATTCAAATTAAGCAATATTGTCTTTATAAAGCTTTTCTAGCACCAAATCTGATGCTGTATTCGAAAACAAATCCCGCTTTCAACCAAATATCTTTCATTATAACATCTTTAATTCCCATATGTTTACCAAAACATTGGTTGATTTAAACCCTAAATTGTGTACAAATTCAAAATTATAATTCTAAAAAACTACATTACAAGTTACCCAACCATGTGCGGAATAATTTATTTATTTACAAAAAAAAAAATTAAACACAAAAAAAAAGATTTGTAATTGAATTTATGCAACAAATAAACAAAAGAACGAGTGCAAATGCACTTAAAAATGTTAAGTTCAAATGAGACTTTTGCTTACCCCCCATATCCTCCATAACCTAATTCGCCATAAATATTTACATTATACATTTTATAACAATTTTGTATTTGTTTTAATATAGAAGAAACAACAATAACAATAAAATATAGCAATGAATAAAATATTACAAACAAATCATATTGCGGCATAAATAACAATGTAAAATTGTTGATAAGCGCTTTTTTATAATAAATTTTTTTTATTATTTTAATATTATAATTATTTTAATATTATAATAATAAATATATTTACAAACATATGTATTTACATTTAAAACAATAAATAAAATGAAATTTAGCAATAACTAGCCAAAGTTCAGAGAAAAGTCATTCATTTAGAGTTGATATACAGGCTGTGGCCAATAATTAAAGGTCAGTTGGCGAGTAATTTTGCTCTCATTGAAATGGATGATGTACATAAACACTAAATAATAAGGCAAACGATATTTTAAAATAAAATTATGAACCCCAATCCAATAAACATTGGCCACTCACTGTACCTTATGCACTTAAAAAGCCACATGTTCATTATCATTCTCTAGTAATATCAATTCATTCATTAAAATGAAAACTGACACACAAAAACAAACTCATTGAAATTGATACACCTGTCTAAAACTTTTCCTCTTTCCTCATTACTTTATTTGCAGACACCAAAAACATACTCAAAGGCATAACGGGTCAATTTAAAGCCGGCGAACTGAGCGCCATTGTAGGACCATCAGGTGCGGGGAAAAGTACTTGCCTTAATATACTCTCAGGATATACGTAATGTAACCTTCATATTTAGTAAAACTACAAAAATTCCTAAACGAAAACATATTTTCTTTTTCTTTTCCCCCTTAAACAAACAAATTTTAGAGCCTTCGGTTATAGCGGCGATGTGACGGTTAATGATTATATACGTGATATTAAAACTTTCAAACCCAATGTGGCATTTATAACACAGGATACAAGTTTACATCCGTATTTAACGGTCAAGGAGGCCATGCATTTTTCGGCTAATTTGAAAATCGGTACCCATATGAGTAAATGTGCTAAAAGAGAAAGGGTAAGTAGTTTGTTTCTAATGAAATATGGACATGGATTCAAATGTTTTTTTACAGGTTAAAAAGATTTTAGAAGCTATTGGCATGTATGAGAATCGTCATACCAGAACGTCTCAATTGTCGGGCGGCCAACTAAAGAGATTATCCGTTGCCTTAGAATTAGTAAATAATCCACCGGTGTTAATTTTAGATGAACCAACGAGGTAAGCTTTACAGAATGTCATGAGCTCAACTAGAACTGAACTAGAACTGAAATAGAACTGAACTAGAACTGAACTAGAACTAGAACTGAACTAGAACTGAACTAGAACTGAACTTGAACTGAACTAGAACTAACCTAGAACTGAACTAGAACTGAACTAGAACTGAACTAGAACTGAACTAGAACTGAACTAGAACTGAACTAGAACTGAACTAGAACTAACCTAGAACTGAACTAGAACTGAACTAGAACTAACCTAGAACTGAACTAGAACTGAACTAGAACTGAACTAGAACTGAACTAGAACTGAACTAGAACTGAACTAGAACTGAACTAGAACTGAACTAGAACTGAACTAGAACTGAACTAGAACTGAACTGAACTAGAACTGAACTAGAAACTGAACTAGAACTGAACTAGAACTGAACTAGAACTAAACTAGAACTAAACTAGAACTGAACTAGAACTGAACTAGAAACTGAACTAGAAACTAGAACTAGAAACTAGAACAGAACTAAACTAACTAGAACTGAACTAGAACAATGAACTAGAACTGAACTAGACTAAACTAGAACTGAACTAGACTGAACTAGAACTGAACTAGAACTGAACTAGAACTGAACTAGAACTGAACTAGAACTGAACTAGAACTGAACTAGAACTGAACTAGAACTGAACTAGAACTGAACTAGAACTGAACTAGAACTGAACTAGAACTGAACTAGAACTGAACTAGAACTGAACTAGAACTGAACTAGAACTGAACTAGAACTGAACTAGAACTGAACTAGAACTGAACTAGAACTGAACTAGAACTGAACTAGAACTGAACTAGACACTGAACTAGAACTGAACTAGAACTGAACTAGAACTGAACTAGAACTGAACTAGAACTGAACTAGAACTGAACTAGAACTGAACTAGAACTGAACTAGAACTGAACTAGAACTGAACTAGAACTGAACTAGAACTGAACTAGAACTGAACTAGAACTGAACTAGAACTGAACTAGAACTGAACTAGAACTGAACTAGAACTGAACTAGAACTGAACTAGAACTGAACTAGAACTGAACTAGAACTGAACTAGAACTGAACTAGAACTGAACTAGAACTGAACTAGAACTGAACTAGAACTGAACTAGAACTGAACTAGAACTGAACTAGAACTGAACTAGAACTGAACTAGAACTGAACTAGAACTGAACTAGAACCGAACTAGAACTGAACTAAACCTGAACTAGAACTAAATTACAACTGAACTAGAAATGTTAACGAAAATTTCTAATATCTTATAATTCTTTTAGTGGCCTGGACAGTTCCACCTCTAACCAACTAATATCATTACTTAAAAAACTGGCCCTAGAAGGACGCACTGTCATCTGCACCATCCACCAACCGAGTGCTTTAACATTTGAAATGTTTGATCATTTATATGCTATAGCAGATGGCTGTTGTATATATTCAGGAGGGACACAAAATCTGGTGCCGTTTTTAGCAGATGTAGGACTACCATGTCCAGAGTCATATAATCCAGCAGATTATTGTAAGTTAAACATGAAAACCAATAATTCTACTATTAATTCTAAAATACATTTAAAGTAATGGAAATCGCCACCGATGACTATGGACAGCAAAATGAGAAATTAATAGCAAAAATAGAAAATGGCCGTAATAACAACTATAGACAAACCAAAGCGGCCAGAAAAAAGCAATTAGAAGCCATGCAAAAAGTTGGTAAGTATAGTAAAATGCAAGAAAAAAATCCATTTATAATACTTTTGTTCGCATCGCCTCACAGACAAAATGATGGCAGCTGGTCTGATGACACCTGTCATGGCTCCCATCTTTACACCTGCCTGCAATAGTAACAATTCTAGTCCGGCGCCTAATGGCCATTGCCCCACCGCCACCTACCCAAATCACTCTAATCATTATACAAAACCCCTAACACCGATCAAAGAAATGTCCTCACGTATCGGCAATAGTAAAGGGATTTTAAATGAATCCAACGATAACAGTACTACCGACGACACTGGATGCTGTAAACAGTTGGAATCACCTAAATTATGTAAAAGCGAAAATATCTATGCCACACCATTCTATCGTCAATTGGGTATTTTGCTGCTGAGAACATTTTTAATATTGTGGCGCGATAAGTCGCTTACAACGATACGTTTTATTATACATTTAGTAACGGCTCTATTGATCGGCTGCCTGTACTATGGCATAGGCAATCAGGCGGAAAATGCATTGAATAATTTTCGTTATTGTTTCTATTCGATAATGTTTATAATGTACTCGGCATTTTCATCAATTTTAGTGAAATGTAAGTAGTTTTTAACCGAATTTTAAATCAATTATATTGAACTAGAACTGAACTAGAACTGAACTAGAACTGAACTGAACTAGAACTGAACTAGAACTGAACTAGAACTGAACTAGAACTGAACTAGAACTGAACTACTAGAACTGAACTAGAACTGAACTAGAACTGAACTAGAACTGAACTAGAACTGAACTAGAACTGAACTAGAACTGAACTAGAACTGAACTAGAACTGAACTAGAACTGAACTAGAACTGAACTAGAACTGAACTAGAACTGAACTAGAACTGAACTAGAACTGAACTAGAACTAGAACTGAACTAGAACTGAACTAGAACTGAACTAGAACTGAACTAGAACTGAACTAGAACTGAACTAGAACTGAACTAGAACTGAACTAGAACTGAACTAGAACTGAACTAGAACTGAACTAGAACTGAACTAGAACTGAACTAGAACTGAACTAGAACTGAACTAGAACTGAACTAGAACTGAACTAGAACTGAACTAGAACTGAACTAGAACTGAACTAGAACTGAACTAGAACTGAACTAGAACTAGAACTGAACTAGAACTGAACTAGAACTGAACTAGAACTGAACTAGAACTGAACTAGAACTGAACTAGAACTGAACTAGAACTGAACTAGAACTGAACTAGAACTGAACTAGAACTGAACTAGAACTGAACTAGAACTGAAATAGAACTGAACTAGAACTGAACTAGAAATGAACTGGAACTGAACTAGAACTGAACTGAACTAGAACTGAACTGAACTAGAACTGAACTAGAACGGAACGAGAAATGAACTAGAACTGAACTACTGTGAACCCACTCTCTTATTAATTTCAATTTTTCTTCTCTTTCAGTTCCCCTAGAATTTCCCATTGTCTCACGAGAACACTTTAATCGTTGGTACTCGCTACGAGCTTATTATGTGGCCATAACATTAGCAGACATACCCATACAGTTCGTATGTACCTCAGTGTATATAGTCATTACCTATATATTAACCGATCAGCCCCGGGATGTATTTCGTGTGGTATTATTTTGTGTGATAATATTTTTAACCGCTTTAGTGGGACAAAGTATAGGATTAGCTGTAGGAGCTTCATTAAACATAAAGGTAAGAGAAGAACTTTTATAAAGAATTTTAAATGCCTTAATAAAATATCATTCTAATATTACAGCTGGCTGCCATTTTGGGTCCCTTTTTCATCTGCCCCTTTTTAGCCTTTTCCGGTTTCTTTCTACAAGAAAAGCACACTCCAGAACCATTGCAATGGATATTTAAAACCTCATTTCTAAAATACAGTTTAGATGCCTCCGTCTTGTCCATATTCGGTTTTGATCGACCACGTTTAGAGTGCAATGCCATGTATTGTCATTATTCGAGACCGAAAGTATTTCTTAAAGATGTCGATATGCTGAATGCTAGTTATGAAACGGCCATTATATTTTTAGTTTGTTTATTTTTAGCTTTACGTATTATATCATTTTATATAATGTCCTTTAGATTGAGATTATTTAGATAGAGATGAATTACTAAAACTATTATGAGAATTATAAAATTTTAATTAAAAACTGAGACAAAGGTTTACTGAACAATAGAATATTAAAAAAAAACGAATATTAATTTAAACAAAAAGAAAAACTTGGTTTCTAATAAAACTTTTTAATTAAAAAAAGTTTTAAAAGTATTCAAAGACAACAAAGGAAATGAGAAAAACTAGAATTCTTCACCCAATAATTTCCAAACAAAATTAAAGAAACTAATGGTTGTTTAATCACAAATTAGAATTTAAAGCTTAAAATAAATATGAACAAACGCCCCCCATAGGTCAAATCGGACATCTATTATAAGCAATTCGAGGTCTGAGTTTGATCTTTGTAAAAAATTTACTTTAAATAATTAAGTCTGTACATCATTGCAATAATTTTTTTCTTACACGATTAATAACCTATAATAATTACTAAAATTATTATCAATAATTTTTATTAAAATTCTTATAAAATTTTCTAATTAATTTTTTGACTATTTTAAACATTCCAAGGAATTAAAAACTATAATTTAAATAGTTGATTTATTTCTTACTCTGTATATTTTTAGTAATTGTGCCAAAGTTTTTATTTTGTATTTTATTTCTAATTGTATTATAGTTTTTTTGTTTTGTTGTAAAAAAAAAATGGGAATTTTATATATAAAATATGTAATTTAAGTTATTTCTTTTGATATGAGAATTTTTTATATATAATAATTAGTGTAAAACATGTAAATCAACAACTATAAAGAGAGAGTGATAAAATAATTGTACTAATTTGTTAAGTGTAATTATACGATTAATTTTTTTTTGCAAATAAAGTATTAAATTTTAATAACAAATGAGTTTTATATATGAAGTTATATATAAAGTCAAGTCCGAAATACTCAACCTATTCTGAAAGCCCACATTGCCACGCCCCCTTTTAATCGCTTCTATTTTTACGTTTACTACTAATCGGAGCTCAAAGCACGAATTGTAATTTAAATATGTATCTTTTTTAAAAATAGGTATATCAATTGAAAATTGATCACCAACATTGCCATTGAAATTGAGATCGATGAATTTAAGCAATTTCTTGGTGAAAAACAAAATGTCTAAAAAAGGCTTTATTTGGTAGTTAGTTAGTTTTAAATATTGGCCGATCCTTAACAAATTGGTAGTAGGGATGTATTTTTACATAAAGGTTAGTTGTGCTGAATTTCATCGCGATACTAATGGTTATAAGTCAATTTTTGGACGTTTAAGATATTTTTTAAAGGAAGGTTTGTATGGGGGCTAGGGTCAAACGATGGCCGATAGTTATAGATATTTATTTATGCCTATATAAAACTTAGTTGTGTAAATTTTTGAAGAGATAGTAGTATATTTGACGTAGTTATGAGTTAAAATCCCCAAATCGGAAGGTCAAGTTGTATGGGGGCTAGGTGATATGATGGGCCGATTTCAACCATTCGTCCTTGTGCCGAAAACCTTGTATGGACCGAATTTTATGAAAATAAGTCGATCGGTATACTTTTAGGTGGGTGTAGGACCAATATTTTTGTGCGTTACAAACAACTGCAGAAACGCATAATACCCTCTAAAAAAATACAAGTTTAAGATCAGGAACTCTTCTAAAGACGATATTCTAGCTTCAAGCGAAAATGTCAGTGACAACTCTTTAATAAAATGCCAAAGTTTGCGATTATTTGAAATACATCCTCAGATCGATATACATACATATATGTGTGTAGTATACGATCCCTAAAGACGTCATTCTAGCTTCCAGCGAAAAGACATTGGTCAATATGTCAGTGTGAGTGTTTTGACAAAAAAAATCCTCTAAACATCCTCAGCCGTTATTGGATTCAGTACTCAGCACCTCTAAGGCAATACCCAAAGAAAAGAATAACAAGGGAAAAACAAAATCTAAAATTAAGATCGGAACCTGATCTGAAGACTATGTTCTAGTTTTTAGCGAAAAGATGCCAGTGTTAATATTCTGAAAAAATCTTTTTTAATCGTAGTTGTTTTTCCTCAGTTAAGTAGTCGTAAGTCCACTTAGAGCAGAAACGTCAGATTGTATTCATTAGTTATTTTTATTTATTGAGACTTATTAATTAGCCGATAAAAGGATTTCTCGGATCAGTAGCCGATGCAAATATAAATGAGTAAGTTATAGTCAACCGATTGGTTTTTTACCTAATCACAACGACAGCTTTCAGCCAGAAGTCCGTAAAATAAAGAAATGGGATATATTGGACTGGTATAAATATGGCAGCAAAGAGGTTAACATACATATTTACTAATATGCTACGAAAGAGCGAAGGTACTTGCTATAAAGGGAATGTAACTCGAGGAGGAAAAACCGTACGTCCTCTTGGAATAATGAAACGGTGTGTTGAACCACATATATATATATATATATGGGATCAGGAAATCGAAGGGCTTTACGTGGTACTCCTTCAACTAGAGGGTGAGCTGATTAGACGACAGACGTGTATCTTACACGTCGTTTACAACAACGCAGATGGGATGGCCTCTGTTGAGTCGGCAACTGCACCTAGAGACGTAATCGGTAGACCAAAACACGAAACGAAACGTGCAACCCGAAGGTACCTCTCTAATAACCTGGACACGACAAAATCTGAAACTCTGACCTGGGGGTTACCGGTTCGCTGGTTCGAACCCATGTCAAATCATTCCAAGGAAAGGACGTGGATACATTTGATCAACACAAAGTCTATAGTCCAGCCAGACTAGAGATACTGGTAGCACCTCTTTTCCCCCGGTATAGCAGTAACACCAAGATAAGAGAAGATTCTTCAAGGTAAGATGTCACCGGAGGGGACTCAACGAGAGCAGAACGAGATGCCTTCTCATAATAAGCATGTCAGAGGTTAGAAACTGAGATTCGAAACATCGAATGATACCACCTTTATAGAGCACTACATAAGGTTTTTCCACAAATATGTTTAATGTAACGGTAAACGGGTCTGTTAGTCCAAGGAGTTTTGGTTTCGAAACGATGGCGAGCGCAATCATTGATTTATTGAAGTCGAAATTTAGCGATAACTTGATTCAAGTAATGGATCTGTCAATTTTTCTTCAAGGTCTCTTGTTTTGACATTTCCCCTTTATTGCCTGTTGAGTTCTACTTGTTTATGCTAAATCAGCCAAGTGTTGATGATTCGGAGTACAATATTGTTCGTTTTTTTCGTGACATACGATAAAACAAAATTACTTCGACAAAAAGAGTCACGGTATAGAGTATATACCCGAAATAATTTTGAAATGTTTATATATTAATCTTTCGAATAAACAAATTTGTAATTAAATACTTTCTGTGTTATTTACAATTTCAAGTTCTATCGAGCTTACAAAGCACCCAATATATACTCCAAGGGTTATGAGACGTGTTCCTATTATTGTTCTTCGATACTAATACGATAAAAACCGATAATTTTATTATGAATCTCTTCTTTAGCACATAGTATGGGCCTACAACGAGAACCAGACGTACCTAGTACATTGCAAATGATATTAAATCACACAAAAAAAAAGACTGTAATGCCAAGAAAATTTGATTTTGATTCAAATAGAATTTACATTCGGATTGTGCCCAACAACATTTTGCATTTGTACCAACAAGTCTGTTTCTGTTGTCCCAAAGTGTAAATTCATTGTAGAGGCAAATTTAAAAATGTTGCCTATAATGTCATATTTGTTGCCCCAACGGTTCAGTTACTGTTGTCGCAACTGCAAAAATTGTTGCCTCAACAGATCAATATACTTTTGTCGCAAATGCAGAAATTGTTGCCTCAACAGTTTAATGTGCTTTTGTCGCAAATGCAAATATTGGTAAGGTATATAATATAAATAAAACACTATTTTTAGTTTAAGAATATTTATTTTAAATTCTTGCAATTTTAAGATTATTGTTTAAAATATTTATTTTTCGGGGTTTTGAGCTTAAAAATAATTCAATTTTTTTAAAATAATATGCATTCATTTCTTGCAATATAACAAAGCCTTGAAATTTTTCAAAAAAATCTGTTTTTACTTCCTGAAGTATTAAGTATATTTCATTTTCCATTTTATAAAATATATTAAGGATAATTGCTTTAACATTTCTAAAATGTACAAAATCTCCTTTTGTAAAAACAATTCCTTTAAAAGTAATTTTTTCAATTTCAAAGCCAGTGGTTAAATCTGTACATAAATGTTTGTAAAAATTAAGTTTTGTCAAATCAATAGTTTTAGTTCTTTTAAACTCAAAGTCATCTTTGAAGAAAGTGTTTTCAACTAAATGTAGAGAAAAATTAAGACATTGTTTTACACACAATGTATATGGTATATTCTTACGAGATCCGATAACATGGGCATACTGTTTGAAAGCAGCGTGCTTTCCTTCAAATCTGAAGCACCAAAGGTGCTTAAGAGGACCTATTTTTTATGGCTGTAGGGTAATGTGTAAGAAAAACAATTTTGTTATTGTTTTGTAGTCGTAGTGTAACCTTTTAACTGAATCAGTAAAAAAAGGGCGTTTTAGTTCAGAGCGACACAACTCTACCAATCATGACATTGCCAACTGCACATTTTTTACGACAAAAGTAATATTATTTGATTCAAAAATTAAATCTTTTATGTCAACAAAAAATTGATATTTCCTGCAAATGCAAATCACTTACGTCAACAGCAATTTTCAATGTACCGTTATTTCAGAGGAAAACCTTTAACGACAAAAGTTATTCTATTTGCAACATATAATTTTGCTGTTAAATAACTTCAAATACTTTCATGTTGTTGTGGTAAAAAAAATATTGTTGGAAAATTTCTTGCGACAAAAGGTTTTTATTTTCTACAACAAGTTTTTATTCATCCCAATAGCAAAATCATCAAATGCTAAAATTATTTACCATCACAATATTTTTTTTTTGTGTGATTGTATTAGAGAATTGACTATTAAAGATTTTATCATTATTCGAACATCGCTCTTAGTAAAGTGCATTGAAAATCGATTTTCAAATGTTTAAGTTTGAAAGTCACAATTTATTAATTAAAATTTTAAATTTTAACGTTCATTTGATTTAAAACTGTAGAACACAATATACTCATTTGTTAAACCTAAAGCTTTGACAATAAACTGAGCTTTAGTGAAATAGAGATAACAGAAAAGCTTTCATTAAATTAACTCACAGAACTGTAAAAAGCACTCAATTTGAGTGATATTTTCTTAAAGATGTATGATACTCAATGGGGCAACTTAAAAGTAAAATAAATTTTTGTTTATTGCAAAATATATGGATACATTTTATTACTGGCAATAAACTGAGAAAACAAATTAAATTTACAAGTAACAAATTGCGTAAAAATAATAATGGAAATTAAACGAAACGAAAATTGCAATATAATTTGAGTTATTTTTAAATTAATATTCATAAAACGTGCAATAAATCAGACAGATAAAAAAACCAAAGATTTTATTTTGTGAATAAAAGTTATTAGGAATTTAAACACGCATTTTTGTTTTGAAAACAATTAAGAATTATTTTGGAGACACCACCTGGCGTATCCATTTACGTCTTCTACGTTTATAGAAAACATGGACTTAGGTAAGTTAGTTTAATTAACTACTAAATGCTAGTTTTTATATATATTTATAATAATTATTTTGATTGCTCTAATTGTGCGCTTAAAAATAAACATTAAACGTGCTTTTTGTTATAATTAATTATCAGATTTAATTATTTTCTTATAAACATTTTTTATTTAATTTAGCGCTATAAAAAATTTTGCATGTTAAAATACCGATAATTTTTAACATTTGTGTATAATTTTTTATCATTAATCT